AGAGATTAATTACTACTACCGCGTATTTACTAACTCTTTTATCTGCGCACTAATTGATTAATTTTTGAATTATTGTTATATTTCTTTTCATAATTGATTAGTGACATTGATTAGTCTTGATCTAGACTCTAGATCGTTGTCATCACGTCCTAGTTTTCTCTTTAATGTAATTATGTTAGGGAAATTATCTTTCTAAAGTTGGACAGTGATCAGTAGGTGACAGTTCCAATTTACTGGTACCTGTATTGAATAAGTGCATCATTTGCAGATTTTCCCAGTCAGTGTCGTGATATTTGTGGTTGTGTATTCGTATTAATATTTTTTTGGTAAAATAAAGGTAAGTTTAATTATTTTTTGATAGAATTTTGTATAATATTGGTAGTGTTGTGTTTGTTTATTTTACACAATAGTTTATTTGTTAATAATTTATTTGAACACTTATTTATTTAAAAAAAATACTATTTTAATTTATATATTTCGAATGTCTTTAAATTGTTCACTATTTATCTTCGCAACTGTTTGTATACGACTGACCCAATATTCACCAATATTTATATACACATTTAAAATTCTGGTGAATGGTCTCGAAAGTTCTCGCCAAAACTAGTAACATTATCCCATTCGTTCTCGAATAGTAATCGAAAGCGCCTTCGCCATAGTCCTCACATATGTTTGGTCCTTAGGAGTTTAATTATGTATGATAATCGGACAAGTTGAGCCTCAAAGGCCAAATAAGACGGAGAAGGTCTTGGAGCATGACTGAATAACGAAATAGCTCGCATTACAGTAGGTTTCAGTAAATAAGTTGCTCAAAAATGACACACCCTAGTTGTCACCCTGAATAAAGGTATATCACCTATTTAAAAAGAATATGACATTTTTATTTGAATTTAATGTTTATATATTTCTAGTTCAGAAGTACAACTGTTCTGATATAATCTTTAGTTGATGAGATACAGCAATTGTAAGTTTTTAAAGTATCACCCCGAAAATGATTACATATTACTTAGGTATATATGTAGTTAATACCTGAATCCCTATCCCTCAGTTTACGGAAATTTAATTTAAACTCCCTGTATTTGAAACTAATTATTTTAAAATGCAACTAGATACCTACCCTTTCTATATGATACGACACTGTGCGAAGCGCTAGACACTGAACCGTATTGAACTTTCATTAAATTACCCACAGATGGCAGTAGCATAGCTATTCTTCGGTATTAGGAGTAGGACTGAGTAATTTAGATAATACAAATAAAGGAAAAAGGAACCTACCTACCTATATTAAACTAAAATTATGAATATTTTTAAAATATTTCTTTTTTATTATTAATTGCTCTTAATTAGATGAAAAATAAGTAGGTAAAATATTTTACAGTTAGGTACATAGGGATTTTCTAAATTATTAATCTAATACTTGATAGGTACCTATAAAGTCGGTATATATAATAAACTTTTTTGTACCTAATATACAGGGTCCGACAAATCTCTGTCGTAGTCGAATAGTAATCGGCAAATTACTTTTTACTTTCCTATCTGTATACAGATATAAGGAAAGTATAGGAATCATGATTTTTTTCGACCTCGAGTTTTCGACGGATTTTTACGTTTTGAGGTCCCCTGAATCCGTTTTGACTATTTTCGCGATGATGTCTGTGTGTGTGTCTGTGTGTCTGTGTGTCTGTGTGTCTGTGTGTGTGTGTGTGTGTGTGTGTGTGTGTGTGTGTGTGTGTGTGTGTGTGTGTGTGTGTGTGTGTGTGTGTGTGTGTGTGTGTGTGTGTGTGTGTGTCTGTATAACGCATAACTCATGAACCGATACACAGAAAAACACCAAATTTTAAACTTAAGCTTTGTTTCAGCGTCCAATGAGCTGATTAGATTTTGGGCAGTGTCGGAACATCTGGGGGGGTACTTTATAGGTGGTCATTTTTATATTTTATGGAATATATCTGTTATTTACGTTTGGAGAAGAAAATTCTTCAAATAAAAGTTACTTCTAATATAATTATCTATAATTTTTGTTTTATGCAAAATTTTCCTAAAATGGTCCGTATTCGAGAAATTTGACAAAATGTAAAAAACATAATTTTTTATAAAAATTGTTCAAATAAAAGTTGTTTATAATATAATTCTCTATAATTTTTGTCCCATACATAATTTCTCTAAAATGGACCGTATTCGAGATATTTGAGAAAATGTGTAAATTTCGAAATTTGAAGAAAACTCAAAAACGGATAAAGGAAAAAACATTAAATTTTAAACTTAAGGTTTATTTCGGCCTGACGTGAAATGATTAGATTTTGGACAAAGTTGGAACATCTGGGGGGGTACTTTATGGGAGGCCGTTTTTATATTTTATGGAATATATCTGTTATTTATGTTTGGAGAAGAAAATTATTCAAATAAAAGTTACTTCTTATATTATTATCTATAATTTTTGCTATATGTAAAAATTTCCTGAAATGGTCCGTATTCGAAAAATTTGACAAAATGTGCAAAATTCTGATTTTTATGAAAATTGTTGAAATAAAAGTTGTTTGCGATATCGATCTCTATAATATTTGTTCATACATGATTTTTTTAAAATGGACCGTTATGGAAAAATTGTAGGAAAAGTGCTAAATTTAAATTTTTCAGTATTTTCATTTTCAATGAATATCTATAGAAAAATGTTTCGCGGTAGATGTAAGTATGTGGACAATGTATATATTTAGTTTATCCTCTAAACATTTATAGAGATACTGCAATAGGTTGTACAAAATAACCGGAAAAAGCCTGTAATAACTAGATAGGAAAGTCATGTGTTGGACACATCAGATTTTTTTAATGGAATGATCCAACTTTTTCACATTTTTAGGTAGGTTTATACTCACTAGTACATACCTATAAAATTTCTCCATTACGGTCCATTTAAGAAAAATCATGTTAAAAACAAAAATTATAGAAGTCGATATAGCAAACATCTTTTAGTTCAACAATTTTCTTAAAAATCAGAATTTTTTACATTTTGAAAAATGTTTGCCCAAAATCTAATCTAATCAGAAATCTAATCAGGATTGAAGCATAAGTTTAAAATTTAAGGTTTCTTCTTTATCCGTTTTTGAGTTTTCTTCAAAATTAAAAATTTACACTTTTTCACAAATATCTCGAATACGGTCCATTTTAGGGAAATTATGTATGGGAAAAGAAATGTAGAAAATTATATCTCAAATAAATTTTATTTGAACAATTTTCTTAAAAATGTGAAATTTTACATTTTGTAAAATTTCTCGAATACAGACCATTTTAGGAAAATTTTTTATAAAACCAAAATTATAGACAATAATAGATATAATAAGTAACTTTTATACGAACATTTTTCTTTTCCAAACAAAAACAACTAATATATCCCATAAAATATAAAAACGACCTCTATAAAGTATCCCCCAGATGTTCCGACTTTGCCCAAAATCTAATATGTTCACCTCAGGCCGAAATAAAGCTTAAGTTTGAAATTTAATGTGTTTTTCTTTATCCGTTTTTGAGTTTTTTTAAAATTCAAAATTTACAGTTTTTCTCAAATATCTAGAATACGGTTCATTTTAGAGAAATTATGTATGAGTCAAAAATTATAGAGAATTGTATCACAAACAACTTTTATTTAAACAATTTTCATAAAAATTTGATTTTTTTTACATTTTGTCAAATTACTCGAATACTGACCATTTTAGAAAAAAATTTTATAGAATAAAAATTATAGAAAATAGGTAATATAAAAAATAAGTTTTATTTGAAGAATTTTCTTCTACAAACGTAAATAACAGATAGGTATATTTTATAAAATATAAAAATTACCCTCTATAAAGTACCCTCCAGATGTTCCGACTCTGCCCAAAATGTAGTCTGACTACCGCAGGCCGAAATAAAGCTTAAGTTTAAATTTTGGTGTTTTTCTTTGGATCCATTCATGAGTTATCATGAATACACACACACAGACTAAATATTTTTTTATGCCAAGTTCTATTTTTTCTTTTTGTACAGAGTGGTCCAATAATTAATTCCACTTTCCAAAAATGCCCAGTGATGATTTTTAAAATTTTTCAAATGGAACACCTTCTATTACTATTCATCATGGCTAATTTTATGCCCTTCAACTAGCTCATGTACATTCTTATATCTATCTCTTGTAGGTACTTATATACATCCCAATATAGGTTGGTACCTATAATTCCAAAGAATACCTATTTACATTCTGAAATATCTGTAGTAGGTACATATTAAAAATACTAGGTACACATTTAAATAATCAGTGCCTAATTGCTGAAGTTAAACAGTTTTCCTAAAAATGTAATTTATTTCGTTTTTTAAAAAAATGTTGAAAGAGCTTGGTAGGTAATGTCAAAATTTATTTTCTATTGTTTTTTCCACTGTACCTACTTATAATTATTTTAAATATGAATAATTAAGATACAGTAATTATTGCAGATACACATTTAAAATAGGTATGAGATTAGATAAGTTGACACTACTGAATAAATAGGTAGATAATAATTATGTTAACTACCTAGGCAGGTACATAAAGAAGATTAAAATTAATAATTTGATATTTATCGGTTTACCTACGAGAAACCAAATAAGTTTTTAAATTTCGTTGTTTGGGACACCATGTCATTCAGTTTCGTAAAAAAAATCGATTATAATTATTTTAGTGGTTATTATAGTCATTCAAAACTACTAAATTATTGTGTTCTGGCCCATTTATGTCCTGAAACCCGCTGACAGAACGTATGCCACCCACCGACACCGTCTGCGGTGTGAGTCGAGTGAATTGCCAGCAACAAACACTCGACTCCTCGAGTTGCGTGCATGAAAACATCGTAGAATGCCATGGCCGAGGGCCGGCTTCTATCGAGCGCCGCGTGCCCGAGACTGATCCCCCATTGGCCGGAACAGCACCTGCTCGGATTGGCACGGTCGTGGAGGGGCGCCATTACGCTCTAGTACCGCGGATAAGGCATAGAGGGCTATAGACTGAACATACATGGGTCATAAAGGATTCGAAGAAGTAGAGGAGAAGGACGCGTAAGAAATACTCTGCAATAGGGTTAAACGACGTTGTTGATATTACTCTTAAGTGGCCGGTCGTAAAACGTAAAGCGTGTGCGGTTGTACAATCACACAGACTATGATATATAGTGCGGGACGGTGTAGTGATTGGGACCTTGCACAACAGCAATGAGTTCCAAATTTATCATCGATAGTATGTTACCTAAGTATCATCAACAATTTCATCACCAGCAATTGTTTCAAAGCCCAGTAAGCACATCTTCAATCGAGGCAAGTTTAGCATCCGTAGTTAACTACAGTTCGTCAGGATCTCCGAGTGGTTCTTCTCCTCAACATTCAAATAGTAGCGCTTCTTCGACTTCGCCCGCCTCCAGAATGTATCCCTACGTGTCAGCAGCAACGGCAGCGGCCCATCATCACCATCAGCAACAAGCCGTGGCCGCTGCCGCCTTCGGAGCGGCGGCCGCCTCAGGAAGCATGGTCCCAACAGGATTTCCGTCTAGTGCTAGCACCGCCGCTTTGGCAGCCGCCGCAGCCGTAGATGCCGCCGCAGACAAGTCATGTAGGTACACAGCCGGTCTAGGTGGTAACGTAGGTCCTGGAGATTCTATGGTTAATTATACGCTGGGTCACCACCATCAAAATGGGGCGGCCGTGTCGGCGGCAAGCTCCGTCAGCGCGGCATCTGCCTCCATGGCCGTGGCTGCCCAATTTTACCATCAAGCTGCCAGCGCCGTTGTGGATCCATTGAATTCCTGCTCGCAAAATACAGCTCCCGGCGGACAACCCATTCCAGATATTCCTAGATATCCTTGGATGTCAATCACAGGTAATATTTGTTTATTGCATGAATTTTATAATACCTAATTAATTCCTTATCAGATGTGTTTAATTGCAGTGAGAACGCCATTAAATAAATTATTATTGCCCATTATCAAAATATAGGTTGTTTTATTGCTGAGTAATAATTTTAATTGTTAATAATTATCGACATTAATATTCAATGGCGTTTCTTTGAATAAATTAAATTTAAATTTGGTTTTGATTTGACGCTTCAACAAATTTTATTATTTTTAATTTGCTCCTGGATAGGTAAATACAATTTCGGTGTAACGCATGCGTGTGATTTTTCTGTAAGTGTGGCATGCCTTTACTTTCATGCCAATTTTCATCTATAGATATCTAATCACTTTCCAGTGATTCCTATTCTCAACATAATACCTATACCTACCTATTAAGGTTTTTTTAATGCATTCTATATACCTAGGTATTTTATTGTTATTTATGGTGTGACATTTCGGAATTCTAATGCATGTAGGACATCTAATCATCTTCATTGTTCTATAAAATTTATGCAAATTTAAAGTGAATGCGGGTGTTTAGGTTGCCAAATGGATGGTTATTGATAACTGGCAATTAGAGATACCTAATTACAATTTTCAAAAGTAAAAACCAACCTTACAATGCATTTGTTAATTTTAAGTTATCTAGTGGTTCATCAAATTCACAATTACCTAATAGAAAAAAAATTTTTATGTTTTTTATCCATTACCTGAATAAAATTGAAATTACATTGACACTTATTCTATTTCGATGCCTTTGGGGCATTTATAATGACGCCTATTTCAAAATTTCTATAAAAATAAACTTAATAATCCTTGCGACGGGTATATTCACTAAATTGTAGGCGTGCGCATGTCTGAATAAAGGGCCCGACTTAAACAACACTTGTAATTATAACTATTAATTGGACTATAATTTTAAAAGAAAGTATTTAGAGATTAATTAAAATCCGCCTTAAAAAAAATTGGACTATAACTCATAAACTTACTTAAAACGCGATTAAGTTTGACAGTAACGTTTGAGGAAAGTTTTAAGGGTTGGTACAAGTCATAAAACATTTTTATGGTTTTTGAATCGCTACTATTAACTTTATGCGTTTTGTCCTCTGCGCAAGCCTTCTGTGTCCGTCGGACAACAGCTACTACTCTGTTTAGGTTTCAATTTTAACGATTTTGTCAATTGAAATGCTACAATAAATAAATACGCTTTTAATGACCATTCGGTAGATCATGGCTATAAATATGGTCATAAAATTAAAATTTTCAACAATATATTCTGTATTTGGCTTCAATTATAATCTCAAGTATTTAGATTAGGATAATCTAGAAATAAAACATGCCTAGGAAGGTATTATTTGGATAATACCTAGGAATGTTTTTAGGTATCATTATTTGCATTATAATTGTTTATTTGTAAATGTTTTTTGGATAACAGTTTAATTTTCGACTTAATTTGTAGCAAAACTGCTCATGCTGCAACATGAATACCGAAATATGCATTGAAAATATTCCAGATTTGAAGAATGGAAGGAAAATAATTGTGATTTGATACACGTTGAATCATCTAAACCTAAAATATTTAGGTATTGTTTCTAAGGCTTTTAAGAAGTAGTTGAAGTCTAAAACTAAGGCGGATATAGGTTTACAAAGTTTAAAAAAGAAAAAGAAAATGTGTGATAAATGATACAGCTGAAAATAAGTTTGCTTAATATGTTCTAAGGCCTTAAAGTTTTATGTTATAGGTCGTTGTATTTTTGAATGTAGTAATGTTCTTTATGTACCCATATCAAAATAATGATGTATTTTCGATCCTCTTTTGTTTTTTGATCATCGGGATCAACTACAAAAGGTTATTAGCCTCGTATTCTGTATAAGCTATTCATTTGTTCCCAGCGCCACTTTGGGAACATCATTGTTAATTATAACACAACAGTAAATAGTTATGTGGAGAATCCTACCTATGCATTAGAATATTTAATTCATTAAATTAAATAAAAATCCTATCACTGGCGGGATTGGAACCTGAGAAAATTAGGTAGATCTCAAAGTCATGGCTCTAACCACTGATCCAACCCAAACCCGATTCACTTTTTGATAGATATTTTTGGAGATACCTATGTGTAAATAAAAAATGTGGTTGGCACTAATTTAAATTGAAATGTGAAAATTTGGAAAACCTATTTGAAACAAAAATGCATATGTACCTATGTAAAAATATTGCCAAATTCAAAATTACGACGCAAATTGTAAATTGGGGTTAAATAAAGCAAAAGTAGTCTACCTATTAATTTCAACAATACCTACCTATGTTAAATTAATATTTGACAATTTATAACTTTAACACAAACTTACAAACAAAATGGCTGCCGACGGGCTGCTCAGTGGATTTGACAAGATCAATGATATATACATTAGTAGGTATACAGATTGATTATATGTTGTTCAAAATACCTAACAAACCTCATGTCTTGAAGTAAAAATGTAGATAATTATTTTTTTACTCTTTTCCAAAAATGCAATTTGGTTTTAAAGCACATTTTTGCTAAACCTATTCCAAATAATAGACAGTTGCTAGGCAATATGACCGCTCACATTCCAACCCGCTTTGAACAATTTATATAACTATACAATATGTTAACCCTTGGAATAAAGATGAAACGCCTAATTATATTTGCACGTAAGTTAAATAAAGACAGACTCTCGTAAATCGGGTTCCTGTCTGCAATGATTGGACAGATGGATACACTTCTACTGTTAGTGGGCTGGCGCATAGTGTTCTATCTTTCTCTAATCAATACCATCGCTTATTATATACGTAGAAAGTAAAAAATAATTTTTTTCAAAAAGGTTTACCTTGGCAGTTTTTTATTTTTCTAAAATAAGTAGGTACAGCCTCTTCCATTAGAGAAAAAATATCAATGCCACATTGTAAATGTGTTAAATCAGTGGCGTAACAATTTTATATATGTAGGTTGACAAAACGTTAATTTGTAAAATGTTTTTATTTGATATAAGCACTTTTATCTCTTTTAAATTCGCTATTTAAATTTATTATATTTATTACTGGAAAGCTTCAAGGTAGATTATCAATGTATTAAGAAATGTAACCAATTTAAATTATTGCTCAAACTCAAGCGCTGTATCATTAGAATTTAAATATTAATAAAAATAAATAAAACACAATAGGTACCTACCTACTGACTAATAAAAAATATATAAAAATTTATGAATAAAGTTTGTTAGGTACCTATACCGCATAGAAAAATAGGGCAAATGGGAAACATTTTGTTTTGAAATTCTTGGCATGTTGGTGTTTTTATATTAAATAAATATACAGTTTAAATTATGATTTGTAAAGTAATACGGCCTCTGTTCTTCAATACTTTATTAATTATTATTAGGTATAGGTACTTATAAGTATAATTTTATTTTCTATTACTGTTTTCATTTTTATTAATATTACTGAATTGTTAAAACAATTGTTTTAATATATAAGAACCTAATTAAATACTATTAAATATTTTTTGTAGGTACAACTACATACATACCCATACAATTTATGTAGGACTTTTAGTCGCCCATGCCTGAGTAGGTACCTATACTAGAAACATTAAAAACACAATGTTTAAATAACGCAGTAATAATAATAAAAAAAAAAATAGAAGATAAAAGAATAACTTAATAAGTAATGACTTTCATTAAATAATAATTAACTAAAATCAAAGTACCTACCTGAAAAAAGCACACAACAGAGGTCGAAGAACTTTAAAAATCGTAACTTGAAACTGTAGTTTTATTTAACATAACAAATAACTATATCCTAAGGATATCAAAACAAAAATTAAAAAATAAGGTGGTATAACCACAAAAACAGGAGATTTCTAAAATTTATGGTAGGTATAATTATGTACTAATAGCAAAATATTTGCAATGTAATACTTATATTTAATTAGATTAATAGGTATATTTAGTAAATAAAATATTATATCAATGGTTATTTCAAAAAAGAATACGTAGAACCTTTTTTCGTATTAATCAATAAAATCAATTGTCTTTTTACTTTCCTGTATTTATACAGATAAGAAAAGTATAGGAATCATGATTTTTAAATTTTTTAAATGTTTAGTCAATAAATTTACAAAGAATGAAATTATTTATCATTTTAATTATAAAAATAAGGATAAATATACGTATTTAAGTAATATATTATCACAAACTAATGAATTTGCCGTTTAACCTTATCTAATAATTTAGATTACCCTCGGCCATTAGGGAACATTTTTTTGAGTGTTCTGATCGGTTGTCACTGCGCATCTACGAGAATAATACACCTCTTATTTACATCATGGTTAAATGGTTTATTTAAATTACAGACCTACCTATAAGTCTGCTTTGTATACTGGAAAAAATCATATAATATAATATATTATAAGGTTTTTTTATATATTATATAAAAAAAACCTTTATTGTCCTAACAGGCGCACATAGATATCTAGGTATAAGATTTAGATTTAACAAAAATACAGAAGTAAGTAATGAAAGAAAGAAAAAGAAACCAGCTAATTTAGATATGTTACTAAGTATATACCCAGATTTTTTGATTCTATTCTTAAACTGATTTAATGAACATTAAAATGGGCCAATCTTGAGTATTTTCAATAAAATCTATGCACATTATATGTAAGGGGTTCATTATGTTTGTTCTATGAGTAGAGAGGTAAAATGTTTGCTCATTTATATACCTAAAACTTGAATGATATAACTAGTTTATGAACAAACTATCGTCTTAAAATACTCAAATATAAATTCTATAATGAAACTCTTCTAAACACACATCCACAAACTTTAAAAAAAAATAACCCTTTTCAAACGTCTACGAATTAGGTATAAACAAGTTCATATTTGGTTTCTGGAACTGTCACCACCATTTATGACAAATCTGTACCTACTTTTCGCTAATGTACATAGATGTACATAGATGTACATA